TAGCACTTCCATTCCAGGACAGGCATGTTTAAGTTTGCCTCTTTTACGTGTGCGTAGACCTCATGTGCCATCCGATCGTCGGCATCGTTGCTGTCCCACGCTTGGCCTTGCAGCTTTTTGCCGCGCGCGTACAGCTCTTTAAGTTGTTTGTTAAGCTCATCAGAGCCTCCTGCATCCAGCACGTCGATCACGTCCCAGAACCCTTTAGACAGGTTCCGGGGAACGAGGCAGCGGCGCTTCGCCGATCCGTGCTGCTGCCCAGGAAGTTCGCTGGCTAGCGCGACTGCCCAGGCAATCGATTCTTCCTTCAGCGCGGCTGCGGGCTGCCCTGAAGATGAGCTACTTTGGCTTGCGCTGTCTTCGTCGTCGTCGTTCACGCCCGCGGACCTGTCGCTCTCGCTCCCGCGTTCACTGGCGCTGCTATCGCCGTCGCTTTCGCTCGAACCATCGAACCAATCGTCGACCGCCGCAGCAGCGGAGCCTTCGCTGCCCTCGGACGCGCCGTCTTCGTCGCTGCTGCCGCCGTCTACGAACATGTCTCGCCCATGCTTGCGTCGTGTCCTAAGTGCTGCTAGATATATCTCAGTAGATATATCTAAGCCGTCCTAAGCGTTTATAGGCGTTTATAGGCGTTCATAGGCGTTCATAGGCGTTTCTAGCTCTCGCTAAGCCGAGTTAGCGACACACTAGCCAGTTAAGATCAAAGACACCGAATGTCATCTTTCGTGTCCTCCAATAGATGTCTCTGGCGGACTGCATGTTGTAGAGTCCAACCACGTTGTCTGCTTGGGCGCCGGTGCCAAAGATCATACTCGCCCTTGCGCGATGTAAGTTAAGATGTAGAGCAGGCATGGTGCACGCACCATTTGGAAAGACATTGCCAGAAGTTTCACTCGAAATAAAAACGACATGGCCACGCATGTTTGGCAGCTTCCTTGGGGGGCAGAAAATGCCATACGGATCGGCACCTTCTGCTCTCCCATAACTCGAGTACGGTCTCATGGTGAGTCCTTCATCAAGGGTAGAAAATGGTCGAGATTTTGCGTTCCCCCACGTGTAGATGTATGTTTGATGATACATGCCGTCTCTAATGTTCTTGTATCCAGAATTTTGCGATATGGAATTCATGTATTTGAAATGGCCATGTTTCTCGAAGAACAGGAATAGAGGGGGGCTTTTAGGCGGCCATTTATGGCTTACTGCTTCCGCACGAATTTTTTTATCGGGATCGATATCTGTCCCCTTCCGATACGCTGCTTGGGCAAAGTGTGCGTTCACAGCAAAAACTATAGTCCACAACACCATACTTGTCAATCGACCGCGGGCGTTAAGATGTGCGATGTCCGCGGCGTTAGACAGATGCGCAGGTGATAGTACAGGTAATCTTCGATTAGCCAGGAAAGTAGCGCCCAAAAGAGAGTTTAGTTTATTGGCTCCCTATCCACGAGCGAGTATCGAAAGCCAAATCCGCATGACGGGGTCGGATAATACAACTTGACTTTCGTTGTTCCCACCCCTCAGAAACCGACGCGCTTGTTCGAATGGGGAATGGGCCGGGTCTTTGAATTAATTGCGAACATTTTTCTGGACGATTCGCGGTTTTCGTCTCGCCAGCACTCTGGGATTTTCCACCGCGCGTCGCCATCGGTAAGATTTTGCTTACTTGGACCAGCAACCGCTTCCGACGGCGGGCGCCGTAAGCTCAGCGCGGCCCGTGAATTAATTGCGCCGACCCAGGGGTGTTGCAAGTAAACGCGCTTGGGTTAATTTATTGAAGTAGTAATCGAAAACCTCATCGAAATCATCCAAAACGGCATCGCTTCGACCGACGGATAACGCTGCGATGATGTGATGCGCCGGCACCGCGCCGTTTTGCGCCAGGTGGTGCACGAAAAGCGCGCGTGCTGCGCCGGGCAGCGACGACGGGGTTCGGGAGCTCAAAAAATCCTGCTGGCGGCATTCTGCGGCGAGACTGTCGATCACTGCGACTGCGGGGCGCGCCGACTCGATTTTTGCATTCCGGGGTCCATATACCGTGACAGCTGGCATGGGGCAACTCATCACCTCTCTGCGGTTACCCTGCGACTGAATTAGGTTCGAAACTTCCCCGCGCGCGCGACGACGACGACGACGGCGGCGGCGGCGACGGCGGCGGCGGCGGCGGCGGCGGCGGCGGCGGCGGCGACGACGACCGACCGACCGACCGACCGACCCAGAAAATAAGTGCCAGGAGCTCCCTGGGGACCTAGGGGGGGTCGCCCGACGCCTCCCCAAGTACGCCCCCGCCGGACCCAGTCGAATTTTACAAACCCGACCCCCCATGCGGGATTTTACTAGGGGGGGTCAATGAACCCCGGCGCTCTCCGGGCTCCGCTCCGCCTCCGCTGGCGCCTGGTTTCGGGAGGCGTCCCTGGAGCGACTTCCGGGATTTTGGGGGACGCGAAAATTGGGGGAACTGCGTCCTGCGGCGCCGTACGGCGAATGCGCCGATTTATGGCTCCCCCAAAACTCGCCCGGGCCCCGGCCAGAATGGGTCACAGTGCCCTAGTACCATAACTTCGCTCAATCCGGACGGATCAGGACGAACCGAAAGTCGTTTTCGAGTTCCTACGCGGGCTCCTCGGGATGGGCGCAGCCTCGGAGCTCGGCTCGACGACGGCAAAATCCCGGGTTTTCAGTGTCGCCCCCTAATTTTACTCCGACTGGGCTGCAATTGCATTTGCGGCAGTACAATATGTTTCCGGTAACGAGTTGGTGAGTTTAGACCACCTATCATCATCCAGCTAAATAAAACTGCTAAGTGGGATGGTCCCTAGAATTCTTCAGCGCCTTATATGGTATCGAGCACTACGCAGAGAGAATTCGGTTCTTTAACTTCCTCCAGGGTGCATATCCCATTGCGTATGAAACTCCCTGGCAATCGAAGATTACCTGTACCGAACTTGATTGTGGCCGAGTGCCCTCCCGTCCTGCGCTTCTGCGGCGAGCAGTTATCAAGCTGCTGGGCGCTACGAACGGCCAAGCGGACAGAAACAATACTCCCTTGCACAAGAACGGCTCGGACCAGCCATGCACACAAACAGTAGGACGGCGCGGGGGGGCTAGCACCGCGCCGCGACGAAGCAGTTGGTCAATGACCGAGATCGTAGAAATTGAGCTCGTTACTCCATGCACGCACGTGCGCCTGGGTTTTATGAGAGCGATAGCTCGTGCATTTTCAGTCTCCAAAAGCAATTGGAGACGTTCCCTAAATAACAATGGTCGAATTACCACCAGGACTGCCAAAAAACTGCGCGCCAGCTTCGACCTATACGACAAGAATAAGAGTGGATCGGTCGACATCTATGAAATGACCCAGGTTGAAACTTATCACAGTTGATCTTCTCTAAGTCACATTACACAGTGCGTTGCGTCTCTCGGACACACGCTGACGGCTGAACACATTGCTGACATCTTCAAAACTGTGGACATCGATGGAGATGGAAAAGTGGACTTTGATGAATTTGTTCTCATCATGAGCAAATGCCCGCGCCAAATCCCGCTGCTTGTACTCACCTTTTTTGTGTAGAGCTGCAAAGACGACACGGCCTTTGGCTTGAATGCATTGAATTTGCGCTCCGGGAATCTTGTTCACTCAGTCATGACGATTGCAGAAAGCTCCTAACACGCAAATTCGCCAACTTCTCCCCGGGCGAAATCGACCACTTCGTTTTTACCAAAGTTGCGTCTTCACAACCCTCAGCACAAATCTCATTGTCGTAGGTAGGGCTGGTTGATGACAATAAAGATGGCTTTGTCACCCTAGAGAAAATTCAGTCCTTTTCACGCACAAACAAAATCATTGCCGATGTTTTCCCTTGTCAGTTGCTTGATTGAGCCAGCGGGAAGTTCAACTTGTGTGTATGTAAAGGGAATTAGCTAGGCTACCCTTCAATGAACTGGGTACTTGCAGTTTAAACGAACCCCACTAGTCTCGTGGAAAATTCTTAAGTCAAGATTCCGTTGAGTAGATGAAAATCTTAAAAGAAATGAGGAAAATGAAAAGATAATTGATGAGGCTTGTCGTGATATGAACATTGATTTTGATATTTTTCAATACAAACCTGTGTTATTTTGTCCGTGTGGACACGATATATTAAGAAATCATTTTATAGGTTTACCAAATTCCAATAAAGTTATTTGCATAGGTAGTGAATGTGTTAAACATTTTATTGTTAATGAAGGTGTGACGAAGTTAAAATGTTTCAAGTGTGATAAGGGACAGCGTTCCAAGGACGGTATAATTTTATGTTCTACTTGTGGAAAGTATATTAGGGATTGTATAGAGAGCGGTTTTGCGAAACGCCTTAATGGGCATTGGTCTCTTGAAAGAGATCGTAAGAAACAAAAGGAACGATTCAAAGAGTTTATAAGGACAGATTTACCGAGAAAATTGCGGGTTATGTATGAAAGAGGCAAATGTTGGAAGGAATTTATGGTTTTACTTTGGAAAGTAGCTTTCTAGTCAATCAAGATAATAATTTGGCATAAAGGGTAAGTTGAGTGAGCCTCAAGGCCCACCCCACTACCCTAGTTTACTAGCTAAACTCCCTCTCTCTAAAATAGGTTCGGCTGGCCACGGGGAGAAAGAATTTCGCCGGCGGGCTGCTTCAGCAGCGCCGGCCAGATAAGAGCATAAGGAGCGAGTATCGACTGAGCTGCAATAATAAATAACAGCTCATTCTCTCTCTCTCCTCTGGGCGCTACTTTCCTGGCTAATCGAAGATTACCTGTACAAAGTAGCTTTCTAGTCAATCAAGATAATAATTTGGCATAAAGGGTAAGTTGAGTGAGCCTCAAGGCCCACCCACACGAAGTCCCCGAAAGGATCAATCGACGTACCTCTGACCTCGTCCTCCTGTGAGAACTTGGTCAGTCCATGGCGCATCACCCGGGTCCAGTGGATAAGCATCTAGACACGCGGGTGACAGCCGGTCCGAGAAGGGAAGCTCGACTGGCCATAGTAACCAGCCCCGCCCTCGAGTGCCAACAATGTGGCCACCTCCAGTCT